GTGCTATTTGTGACTGTACGTTTATACGCGTGCCCGTGACGACGTGTCGAATTCTGCCGATTGGCCATAAAACAGATAGTTCTATCTTCAGTGTACGGATGAACACGTCCTGAACACGTCCTCACGACTTCAGTGTACATGGTCCAATCTCAATGAAACTTCACACGTTTGATAACAGTCCAGACTTGAACACGTCTACCTGACAATATTCAGATATAGTGATAGCGCCACCTACTGGCAACAGGAAGTAAGCGCTGCATAGATTTTGATCTGATTTACGTGAAACCCTTTTGCGGGTTTTTTGTCTGTGTTGAGACGGCGAAATTTCTGTATGAAGACAGCATGGTTAGTGTCCCTTCTCTACCCTATGATTTTTGTATAATACAACATTGGATGCGAACAGATGCATGTTGATTAAATGGAATTGTAATAAAGTTATGTTTATTTTGTGTATGTTTTGTAGTGACATGTGCTGAGTAGAACTCTTGGTGTCTTTATAGAGGGCAAGACGCCTGGTCTGAATACTATTATAGAGGCTGCGCATGAATGTTTGATAATCTAATTTTCTCCTGGCAATGAAACACTAATGTGGTCACATGTGCTTTGTTATTCAGAATGTATGCATGCTGGTCAGAGTAGATGTAAGAAGCCACAATAAGCATGCAGGAGGAGATGCCGATAAGCCTGTGTGATGCCAATGATAAATGCCGTCACTCTCGGATTGAAGTCCTTAGTTTGTTTTCGAAATCCACTTGCGCTTTTGCCTCGCTGAAGATAAAGCCTTCCAGCACTCTTGACCTCTCAGACTCGTGACTTGACAGCCAGGTGCGTTACTATGCTATAGCTCAACTCTGTCTTCGTCTAGGCAGTGTCAATATAGAATCTGCCTCGCGCGACACACATGCATTGGTATTCTTTTTACAGTTTATGTGTTCTTCATGATATTTCTTTGATTTTTTTTTTTTTTATTGCAGCTATTGCATTTGCTGTATGAGTTCTGATGAGACTGAGCGATGTTGCGTTGCTTTTTTTTCACATGTTCCTCTTTTGGTTCTTATTTTATGATCGAGCCTATTTGGCGACCGCTAACTCCTCTTTTCCTTACAAATTCACTCAGATTCGACTCCAAATTCGATCACTGCCCATAATCTAGCACACATTTGGGTGTCAAAGCTTGTTCGCGCTACTTTGTTGACTGTACGTTTCATTGACGCGCTGTCCGGTACGAACGTGTCGACATTTGCTGATTTGCCTCATAAAACAGATAGTTCGTCCTCATTCCTTCATTTCGCTCGAGACTACCGTCGCCTTGAACCACGTCCTCACGACTTACATGTGTTACACTGCCGGCTAATCTCATACTGAAACTCATCACGCTTTGTTATAACAGTTTCTCAGACTTTAGACACGTTCTACCTGAAGAATGATTCAGATATAGCTGATAGCGCCCCTACTTGCAACAGAGAGTACCCGCGCCGCATTTGAAGTTTTGATCTGGATTATACGCGTGACATATTCTTCCGTTTTCCCGTCCGCACGCTTCACCACCGCTACGTC